GAAATACAGAAGCATATTTTTGAAAAGTAAATATTTTGTGGGATAATAGGATACAAATTTGTTGAATTTTTCTAGGCTGACACATGTTATTTTGCAATAATATATCTTAGATATATTGTTTCATAAGAAATATATATTTACTATACATAAGAATATGCATTTTTTCCATATGTAAATGATACATTTTATACAATTAAAGTTATATATAATGTAAAATTATAAAATGAAATAAGTGTGTATGTGAGGTGGAGTTCTGTTTATACCTTTTAATAAAACCAAGGCTCCTTAAATAGGTAAGCACGAAGATCCTTGGCAGTTTACTGGTTCAGACTCAACATGTGTCTCCATTTTCTCCCCAGGAGAAAGATATTACACCTGATCCAAAGCTGTTAGAGAAGGTGAGCGAGTGTGACAGGTACCTGGCCATATCAAGGCACCAGGAGCACCCTCTGGCCCAACTTTCTCCAGAGCTGTCTGACGTCTTTGATTTCTTCATTGCGCTTACCATCTGCAATACAGTAGTGGTCACATCCCCGGATCAGCCACGACAGAAGGCAAGTTGTGGAGTATCCCCAAGAGCACATGATGCCCTTGATCTTCTCAAAAACCCTTCTGGTAGTCTTCCTGAGGGTGAGCATGCTTCCCTTTCCTTCAAGGAGCTGCTCTCAGGTTTAAGAAAGATGTAGCAGGGTGCTTCACACAGGGCGAAACAGTGCATTGGTTCTGTAGTGTCATCCCAGGCTGCAGTGGACAGGTCAGGACTGAGGCCATGTGGGAGAGGACACATTGCCAGGGACACCTTCTGTGCCTCAGACAGGAAGGGCATAGAGTGGCCACCTGGACCCTGTTATAGGGTGGACAGGTGAGTTCAGGAGGCTCCAGCTGCCTTGGTACTTCTTCTGCTACCTGGCCTTGAGCAGGGGCAGAAGGCAGGCTACCCAATATGACCTACCCAGAGTCTCAGGTCTCAGATTACCAAAGAAGAGGAGAAAGGAAGGATTGCGTACCCCGACTTTGGGACAACATGCTTGGACTTCAATCCTTACTTAAGGCTTTTAGACGTGTTGTTCCCATCTCTGTGCTTTTTTGGGATGTGGGGCAGTGGTGAGGATTTATGGAAAGGGCTCAGATTCGGGTTTGGCACACAGCAAATTATGTAATGTTAATAAAGACGTTTAACATTGTCCTTCAAGGAGAAGTAGTCAAGGATCAATCACAGGTTACTTAGGGTGGTGGAAATAGAAGTACCCAAGTTAGTTTTGGATTGGCCCAACATTAAGGCTTTCCCTTAAGACAGGAAAGGTTTGATGTGTGAAGGGATCCTGAATAATCCAAGTACTCCTTAGGAAGTCCTGCAGGTGGGCCACGTTGCTTGAGGGCTGTGCGTCAGCATGGGTGTATATATTTAGAAGCTAGGCACTTTGGAATGGATAAAAGGAAGGTGTATGAGGGCTGGATGTGTCATAGACCTGTCCCTATACCTTCCTAACCTCCAGGATCAGCCCTTCCAGCAGGCTCCACTGATGAGCCATTGGCAAGTGATGTGGGGTGAATAGGGTGGGTCATGCTCTCTGCTGAGATAGCATATCTGACAGCAGCTGCCACCCCACTGTGCTCTTATTCCTGCTATGCCAGCCTGCTGAGGCCCCAGTGCACCAAGTGGATCCCAAGTGGACAGGTCTGGACACTCAGAAACCACAGGCTTGTGCTGCCAGCCCTGGGCAGGAGCTGCTTCCTACTATAGCATGTAGCTGCCTCTCAGCATCCCTTACCTGGCCTTCAGGATCTTCCACCACCCTGCATTAAAGCCTTCTGGCAGGCGCATCCCTGAATGGGGTATCTGTTTTCAAGGTTAGACCCTGCCTGTCAGACAGAAGCAATGTAGCAATTACTGAGTAAGTAAGAGACCCCATCACAACTGAGGCCATTCTGAAAGTTATACACGCTATGAGTTCTATGTAGGGAATGGAATATTTAGCCCACCCTTAGCCTGAGAATGAACATTTCTCCAGATCATTTCTGTTGCCACATATTGGTGAGTGCCACCTTCAAGAGCATTTGGAGCTATCGGGAGCTGTGGAAGGAATGTGTGCGTTCCCCTCCTGAATGTGTAGCATACATAAGGTCATTACATGTGACCTGGGGGAGTATCTCAGTGAAAGAGTATAGGCTTAGTGTAGGCTTGTGGATTCAATCCACAACAAACAAGAATAAGTCAAGTCATAGGCCTAAAGAAAAGGCACCTTTGTCATAGTCTGGTTCTGTTTGCCTTGCTTTACCAAATACCTGACTTTCTGGAAGCTAGTACTATAATTCACAACTTTGGACAACTATACTTAATCACAAAGTTTTAATAATAACTTAATATTTTGGTTGTTTCAACATTTGCTCTTTAAAGTATGGTCTCATTGCTCCATCATTAAACTTTTGGAAAGTTTAACAATTTTAGATATATATCTACATTTGTTATATATCTCATTTTGTTTTATTTCTTATTGTTATAGTTAAAGTATTTTTTAATGATTTAGATCCTGAATTTGTTTAAGTATGTATTTATGTATTTATAGCACTGGGGATTTAACTCAGGGATACTCTACCACTGAACTATATCCCAAACCTTTTTATTTTTTATTTTGAGACAGAGTCTTACTAAGTTTCCCAGGCTGGCCTTAAACTTTCCGGCCCCCTGCCTCAGACCCCCAAGTTGCTGGGATTATATGCATGCACCACCACACCCAGTGTCTATATATTTAATTTGTTGCAAAAGATTCTTTGGGCTTAGAAATGTGATTTGTACACTTAAATTTTTATGGACATAATTTAAAGGAATAAATTATCTTTGTTAAGTGACTTTATAATTGGCAAAAAAAAAAAAAAAAAAAAGCCAGGTTTTATGCCATGCAATGGTGAACACACTTCTCTGATTCTTTTATGCAAAGTCAGAGGATACTATCATCCCTTCACCTGTCTTCTGACTGCTTCTCTTGAAGGTGAGGGTAAGGTTTGAGCTGAAGTCTCCAGTGAAGACAATAGAAGATTTCCTCCGGAGGTTCACGCCCAGCCGCCTGACCTCTGGCTGCAGCAGCATCGGGAGCCTGGCTACCACCAAGTCCAGCCACAAATCAGGGTGCAGCTTCATGTCCGCTCTGTCCAATGACAGCATGCTTTTGAGGCTGGAGGAGAGGCTGGGCCAGCCCGCACCAGCCATTGCCAGCAATGGCTACAGCACCCCTGCAGACAGCTGGGAACCCAACTGCCCCCAGGAGCCTCAGCCAAAGCAGGAGCTGAGGTTTGAGGCCGAGAGCCCAGACGAGGCAGCACTGGTGTATGCAGCCAAGGCCTACAACTGTGCACTGGTGGATCGGCTACATGACCAGGTGTCAGTGGAGCTGCCCCACCTAGGAAGGCTCACTTTTGAACTCTTGCACACGCTCGGCTTTGACTCCATTCGCAAGAGGATGTCTGTGGTGATCCGGCACCCACTCACCGATGAGATCAATGTCTACACCAAGGGGGCTGACTCAGTAGTCATGGATCTCCTGCTGCCCTGCTCCTCAGGTACTAGCCCCTTCCCCTGCTGCACCCAATTCTTGGGAAAATTTTTTGAGAAATCTCCTAACCCAGTCTTGTGGGTGATGCAATTTTCATTTATCCTTTTTCTAAAACAATGCCCATTAGAAAATCTAATGGTTTCTTTCAATCACTATTTCCCAGTTTAAAGGTTTGGACTAAACTGCATTAGGGGTCTTTGATGACTGGATTCCTCCCTCAACCCTGCTCCAGAGCAGTGGTGTTGGGAGATTTCTTGTGGAGCATCAGGTTTTAAATCTGAACAGTGAAGATTTGAAACCTCTAGACTAAAAATCCTGGGAAGTACACTCCTGCCCTATGGACTGGGGGCATCTTTGAGGTCAAGACCACAGTTTTCAGCCTATGTGTGGAGCTGTCTCAGGCCACAATGTGGGGTGACAAGGAGGTATAGCTGCAGGTCTGTCTCCCACTACCCTCTGTCCTGACTTTGGGCTAAGCAGCAGCTCCATGTCAGTCTCTTTTATCCCTTTTGACTTAAAATGGGGATTAAAAACCACTGTTTTGGTTTTTGGAGGGTGGAACTTTATCCAGCAAAAGAGGCTATAAATCTTTCCAGCTAGAAATGCTCCTGAACTTGGGAGGCAAGGAGGGAGCCATACTTGTACAGTTAACCTAGTCCTCCCTCCTCCGTTACTCAAACGATTGAGGATGAGTGTCATCAGCTCTGGAGGTCAAGAGCAGGGTAGAGGTAAGGATGCTATTGGCAGCTGGAGGGGACCTAATAGGGGCTCTGTTGCCTGACCCCTGAAGCCTGGCTGTTTTCCATATCCTGAAGCAGCTTTGGGTACCCTGTGTTGTAAAATGTTATGCACTATAAAAGTCCTTCTGGAGTTTGGCTTCTACAGCCCTATTAACCATAATCTCAGTGTCCTATGACAGAACTCTGGATACCAAAGCCTGGGACTACCCTGTTGCCTAAAAATATGCTAGAGGATCTTTGCAGACTGGAATTTCATGTCCTCATCACAGAGTTGTGTCCTTCAAAAGGCATCTGATCTAAATTTGCAAATGTGTTTCTGAAAATAGTTAGACGACCAACTCTCGATAGGATGTTGCCTTTCTAGCTTTATGGTGGTCCTGTCGTAGTGTTGGCATAGAAACCAATTCATGGGCTGACATTGTATGGCAAGAAGCTTCTTCAATCTGATGTTTGATTCTTTTTTTTTCTGTTTTTTTTTTTTTTTTTTAGCTATATCCTTTGTGTATTTTAGCGCATTTTTACCTTTAAAACAAATTGTGTACAATTATGCAGTGTATCTCTGAGTAGTTGAACAGTGTTTTTTTAAAAAAACAACAACAACAACAAAGCTAAGTATATACCTAAGCCATAAGACTTAGTTTCATGACATTATCTTCTGACTACTGAGGAAAAAAGACCTGAATTACAATAATCCATTTCAGCAAAATTTTCCAATTCAAATTAGAAGGGTTTCAATTTACAAATCTTTTGAAAGGGCAATATTAATGCAATTCACATCAGAAAATCCAGTTAATACAATTAACAATAAACCACACTTTTGCTATATGGTAGAACTTTCTATTGGTCTTTCAATTCCTTCAGCCTTCTGACTGCAGACTTGACTGTGACGGCAGAAGTGATATTGTAGGTCCAGGCGCCACCAGCCACTGTTTTCATGCAGGAACCCCAGTGCCAGATCCCCACAGCCTGTCTCTTCATCTTGGTTTTGCCACAGAAAGAACAAGTGTACTTGGCGTGCTGACTGATTTCAATTTTCTTCACCATTTTCCGGAGGGAGGCACCATAGCGGGTCCCATATTTACCGATGATTCCGACTTTCTTAGTGCGTTTAGCTATGTCGCCACAACTTAGGCCCAAGACCAAAGAGCTTGATGTTTGATTCTTGTTTGCATTCACATGGAAGAAAAACATAGATGGGCCAAGTAGATTTTATTCTGCTACTCGAGACCACTTCTGTCCTATTTTGTGATTGTGCATTAAAGATAACGTAAAGGATCCCTATGCTTCAGTCTTTAACACACACTAACACACACAATGGCTCGTGTCTAAGGTAGAATGTCTGGACTTGCACTAGAATACAAGAGTGGGACAAAGGTAGTAGGAGAGGCCTGTCATGTCCTAGAAAGAAAGCTAGGAATCCTGTTGAGCTGTGCAAGGAAACAGGTTCCACAGAGGAGGCCACAGCAGTTGCCATTCTTGTATTCTCTACTAGTATATGTTTTTTAAATGAACAGAAAAATCTCAAATATAGACAAAACACAAAACTTTTATCACTAATTTTTGATAATAGCATTTGTGTTAGTCAGTTTTTCATCAGTGTACAAAATACCTGAAATAATTAACTTATAAAGAGAAAAGGTTTATTTTAGCCCATGGTTGTAGGTTTCAGCCCACAATTTGTTGGCCCTATTGCTTTTGGGCTATAACAGGCAGAATATTATGAGGAGTTCATGGTGGAGCATATCTGCTCACCTCATGGCCAGGGGGCCAAAAGGGAAAAGAAAGGTCAGGGTCTCACTACATTCCTTCTGAGGGCATACCCCCAGTGACCTAAAGACCTTCCATTAGACATCACCTCTTAAATTTTCTACCACCTCCCAACCATGCCAGTCTGCCACATGGGACTTTGGGGAACACTTAAGATACAAATTACAGCACTATTTTTTCATAAAAGAAGGACATTTTAACACTTTCTCCTCATCTCCAAATATTAAAGATGTCACAGAATTTAACCCATTCTCTTTCTTCAAAGAGCTTACGATACTTTCACCAAGAGGCATGTGTTGGTTAAACTGACCCAGTGGGAGAGAATGGGTTGTATTAGCAACGCATGGCTGAGTGTTTGTCTTCCCTGCCCCAGCAGGTAATTGTGTGTCCCCTTGTCCCAGGTACTCAGGGTCCCAAATGGTCCGGACTATCTCTATTTACTCTTCTAGATTTATTTTGACAAATGTGGTTAATCTTAAATTATATCCCTGCTCAGCTCTTTTTTCTACCTACCCAGAGATCCCTCCACCTTCCCTGTCCCTGGGACAACCAGAGTGCTCTATTGTTATTCTGATCTTGTGTGTGACAAGGGGGGTGGTATTGGGGATTGAATCCATGGCACTCTATCACTAGGGGTAACATCCCCAGTCCTTTTTGTTTTTATGTTGAGACAGGATCTTACTAAATTGCCTAGGCTGACCTTAAGCGTGTAATGCTTCTGCCTGAACCTCCCAGGTTGCTGGGATTATAAACATGTGCCACTCACCTGGCTTGTTATTTTTACTTCAAAGTTCAAAGAATCATCAGAATCTTGAAAGAGTTATCCACAACTTCTGAGAGCTAATATACCAGAGGTTTATCCATATCTTCTAAGACGCCTGTAATCCCAGTGGCTCAGGAGGCTGAGATAGAGAATCGTGAGTTCAAAGCCAGCCTCAGCCAACAGCAAGGTGCTAAGCAACTCAGTGAGACTCTGTCTTGAAATAAAATACAAAATAGGGCTGGGGATGTGGCTCAATGGTAGAGTGCCCCTGAGTTCATTCCCCTTATACGTACATATGTACATACATAAATACATACATACATACATACATACATAAATTTGAGCTTCATCTTCTCAGGAAATTTAAATCCCTAAAGCAAAGCAATCTAAAGCAACTCTTTTTATTCTCATTATCACCTCATTAAGGAGTCTTTTTTTAAAAAAAAATATTTTGGGGGGGTTGTAGATGGACACAATACCTTCATCTTATTTATTTATTTATTTTTATAATGCGCTGAGGATCAAACCCAGTGCATCACACGTGCCAGGCAAGCAGTCTATCACTGAGCCACAATCCCAACCCCTCATTAAGGAGTCTTTTAAAAAACAATTGACCTCTTGTGACATTTTAATTCCTCAGAGATGCTGTATATCTGTTTATGTTTCATGTATCTGTTTTGTACACAAGTGAGATTTTGTCAACTCCCAAGAACAAGTTGGCACTCCCTTGAAGAATTTGTCACCCTTTAGGAGAATGCAGGATATAGGGATAAGAGTGCTTCTTGCTAGGTCCAGCATGGGATGCCCTTGGAATAGTAGAAAAGCTTCCCCAAGGCCAAGACCTCAAGATTTAGGGTTGCAGATTTAGTAAATAAAATATATAGAATATTCAGTTAAATTTGAATTTCAGCTATATTTGAATTTCAGCTGCATCTCACATGAGGAGGCAGTATTTGGATGTCTTCTACTTTATTTGGTAAAACTAGCAATGATGTATGTTTTGAGGAGAGAAACTGCACTTTCTGTTAGTTTTCCATTTTTCATAAGTATTAGAATGGGCACCTTCCTTTAATAGGCTGGACCATTGATTCTGGATGTCTTTTGATGAGGTTTTTGTTTTCATGAGTTTCTCATTTCAACAAGTGATCTTAGAAATAGCTAATATGCATTTTGATGAGACCAATTAGTTGATTTATTTCTTTGAATTCTGTATGAAACTGTGCACATTATTTGAAAGTGATGAAGCAGACTGCGGGGGCGGGGGGGTGAATTTACTGCAGGGTGTTATACTGGGTGCCATTCCTTTTTATTCATGTTCCTGCTTCTACTCTGACCTAGATGACGCCAGAGGAAAGCATCAAAACAAGATCCGAAGCAAAACACAGAATTACCTCAACCTGTATGCAATGGAAGGCCTGCGTACCTTGTGCATCGCCAAGAGGGTGAGTGGGAACTGTCTCTGCAAAGAAGCAGAAGTGGGTGCCTCAACGTGTGCAGTGCCTGACACAGCATTCAACAGTGTATCTCACATAGGTTCTGAGCAAAGAAGAGTATGCCTGTTGGTTGCAAAGCCACTTAGAAGCAGAATCATCTGTGGACAACCGAGAGGAGCTCCTTTTCCAATCTGCCATTCGCCTTGAGACGAATCTGCATCTATTGGGTAATTATGCCTGTGATCTGCCTGTCCTACAGAGCAGTGTTGAATTTGAAGAGAGGGTCTTGGAGAGGATGCTGGTCTGGCTGTAGTCAGTGGCTGATCTGCATGCTCTGGACTTGGTTAAAGAACCACCTGGCTTGATGCCATTGGGTCCCCCAGCCTAGATGGTCCTTGAATGAACATGTTCACTGGCCTATTTCCATGGGGCCCATATGTACCCAGCATTCCATGATGGCAGTCAACTTGCCTCCCCTAGATCCAGCTCTTCCACCAAAAAGAGAGATGAGCAGCAAGTCTTTTGACAATTGAGGGTTGAAAGGATTTCAACCTCCTGGAAAAACAAGAGAAAGGGTTGTGCCCCAGAAACTGCTGCACTTTGCATTTTATGAATATTTTACAGATTCTTTGGAGATGAAAAGATAATGGGCTCATATTTACTAAAACGTGCTCATATTTCCTGTGTTCCTATTTATATTTAATAAATACTGAGAGTGTTAGCAATAAAATATTTATTATTTTTACGCTCATTTCAACATTTGAAATAATTAATTTTAACTTCATATTTATTAAATTAGTGAATAAATCACCTAAGTCCTTGTATGGGTAGAGTTTATTACTCTAGGTGTTCTCAGGAAGAGCTCATCATGACATTGACATTCCCTTTCATCCTAGATCCCATTCATTTTGCATAAAGTCCTAGAGAGTTTCTCTTTCTCCATTTAACAAAGAAAGGTTGCATTCACTTGGCTTCATTCTCTGGGCAGAGGAGTTGAGAAATCTATATGTCTTTATGTCTAATATAAAATATACTTAATATTAAATGGACTGATGTGCACTAGATATAATGAATACATGTAAACACTTCATATAATATTCCACTATACCCAACATCTATCTACGCCTTTTTCAGAGAAATTTCTTCCTAATTTGGATTCTATAATTAATATTCTAGTTGGGCAATTGTGTGAACATCTAAAAGAGGGGTTTTATACTTATCCTCCATTCTAGTTCTTTGTGTTAGGGTGAGGTCAGTGTCCTAGATAATCAAAAATTTTCAGAATTATGATTGAATCATGTCCTACTGTTGCCCTGAGGCAGATGGCTTTCCTCCAGGAGCATATGAAAATGGCTTTGATATGCGTCAGTTAAGGAACCAATGTGTTGCCTACATTGGGCATCAACAGTGTACTAGAGCATATTCTTGCCTGCTAACAAGAGCCCATTGTAAATTTTCAAGAATTTTGCAATAACGTCTTTCTATATTGCATAAAATTTCAAGAATTTCACAGTTTTTTCTTTCTTTTTTTTTTAACTTGTGGCACTGGGAATTGAACATGCAGAGCATGTGCTCTACCACTGAGCTACATCCCTAGCCCTCACAAGGCCTTTTGATGCCATGTTGGTAGACTGAAATCAAGCAAAGTAGGAGTGTTTACAGCACAGAAATGGGCAAACTGGACAGCTCAGCCTCCCTCCCACAAGCCAGTTGCCAACCACTTATGATCTTCTACTACCTGGTATATTTAAGTGATGAAGCCCAACCTGGAAGAAACAAGAGCCACCCACCATTTATTGTTCACCACAGCTTGATCTACAGGTAGGGAATTATGGGCTCTGTGTTGTAACTCCATTGTTTTAGGAAAGTGAAATGACGTATTTTTATTTTTCATATCCCAAAGCAAAATACTGCTTTCTAAATCTTTTCATTTAAGCGCTCATATTAAATAGCCCCAGAGAGCCACAAATAAATATCATCAGCAGAAAGGATCACCATTCACACTGTGTTCCTGAAATTTTCTTTTTCAAAATGTTCTGGCCAAGAACCTAAATCCAAATGACAACATTCTGCTCATTTTGCCTGGTGTTCTTGTTAGTTTCTCTAAATGTCATCTGGAACTCCCCAGTTGGTGACATCCTATCCCTTCTCATTGAAAGCCGTCTGACATCCCAGCACAGTGATGCATTGCACAGCACTAACTTCACTCCAAACTCTACCAATTACCCACGTTACAATACTTAGAAATGTCAGGCCCTCCCAAGGG